ATTCCTTAAAAGGAAACTGTATAAATCTTTTAAAAAATAGAAAGTCTCTGCAACTTTGCTTTTGACAATAACTTAATACATGTAGTTCTGCATTGTCAATCACTGTATTTGACTCTAGGTACACAAAGTATATCGGTTATCATAATCCCTGTCCAAATATAAAGACAGAAATAAGATATTCTTTTAAAAAAAAATATTTACTTATTTATGCATACAAGAATTGGGGTATAGGCCAGAGGTGGAGGGGGGGTGAGAGAATTGACCAGAGACAGAGTGGGAGGCCGAACAGGCAGATCTACTGCTGAAGGGAGCATCAGGCGGATCAAGAGTGGTCTGCCATACCATGTGGGTCACCTCCTTGCCTGGGGATCAAACTCGTGCTGCAGTGGCTGCATAGAGCTTCATGTGTTGAGCTTTAACCCTTTGTGCCACTGGAGAGGGCACCAGAAATAAGATATTAATTCAAATTTACTTTCACCATCAGTAATCCCTACAGTTTAAGCAACAGAAAAGGCAGTGCCACACTGCAAGACCTCCCTGCTCTTTGCCCTTCAGGTGTAACAGGCTTGAGTATTTCTTCTCTAATTGTGCTTTCCCTGTATTTGATCAGCATGGCACACAGGCTGGGTGGAAGGACATTTCACAGTAGGACCTGATTTTGATTTGTCTTAAGGCAAAGGGTTTTTCAGGAGCCTGTTGCCAGTCTTCACAGGCAGGCTGCCACCTAGAAAAAGTTCAAGGATTACTGGGTGACAGAAGAAAGATGAGTACTTAGATAAGCTTTTACATAAAATGAGCTATTTTTTTTTTAATACTGTGAATAACTGAGTGCCTTTCCATTATCTTAATGTCACCTTTGCCATAAAAAGCTTCTTGTTTTAAGCTTCCCTGGAACATCCTCATCTTCTCCTTGTATACTTAGAATGTAGCTCTAGTGCTACATTAGGTATCATCAGAGCCTATTAGAAAGTCAAAACCAGTAAGTCTGATTTTGTTTAGGGAGGCTCAACTGAATATAAGTTTCACCTCCACTCTGGCCAGATCTTTATGCCTGTTCTGTTTCCTTCATAAACTATAGTCAGTGTCTAAAATACAAGCTGGCAGCATTTGTCAAAGTATATTTTTATAGAGTTGCTCCTAATTCCTCTCTTCTGCAGATATGTAACTGTTTCTCCAGTGTTGCAGGCAGAAGTCTGGGATTCAATGGGCCAGGCAGTCACTGATCACCAGGCTGATTTTCTTGCACTTCCTGAGTCTTCGGTATTCCCGTTCCAACCTAGAAGACACTGAAAGAGTTCTCCCATTAGGCCAGAGTGTAGTGTCTGTTCACATGTTTTCTTGAGCTGTTTTGCCTGTGAAGATGGACTCCAAGGGAGCTGCTGCCATGCTGGCATTCAAAAATGTGACGTGGCCATCTGGCCCAGACCTGCCAACCAGCCACAGGAGCCTTGGAGGATGCTAGCAGGCAGTTGTGGCTCATGAGCTTGGATGTAGGTGGATCCCTCAGAGGGCGAAGCAAACCTGGTGGCAGGCAAGCACTTCATTGCTCTGTGCTTTGCTGGAAACCTCATACTCTGAAACCCACACCTGTTCTCTAAACTCGACATGAGACTTCCTTGTCAGATTGAATGAAAATAGATTCATTTCCTTTTCTATCTGAAATGCTCCATATTTAGTCCCCAACTTGCCCCAGGGACCGCAGGGTGAGGAAAGTAGCATTTCACTTTAGTTTGTTCAGGCAGACATTCCCCCAAACATCTCTTATTAAGAAAGCAGTAGGTAACCTTCGCGGATCTGGGGATGTGAGAATTTCATCCTTTTTTTTCCCCCTTCCATATCATAGTTAGTATTAGAGTCCTCTTCCTTTCTTCTCTGCCAAGAGGATAAAAACACTACTGAAAAAAACAAATTTATCACAATGGAGCTAAGTTGTGGGAGGACAGCAGTAGGAACATTTATGCTTTATTCCCAGATTAAAGTTGATTAGGATTGTTATGTTTTGTGTAGTTTTTTTTGGAGGCGTTGCCCTTTCTTAGAACATCATGTGATTTAGTGGTGATAATTAGGCAGGAACTTGTCTTCCCTACAGATGCCAAGATTATAGAGGGACTTACTCTCACCAGAGACCAGATGACAGCATCCCTAGATATTTTTAGAACGGGCCTCATCATTTGGTTCTCCCCATTTCATTTTCCTTGCATCAACAGCCTCATTTCAGACTGATTTATTGGATTGGGAGGGGATCTTCTCCCTGTTAATGAAAGTCACTAGTGGGACCTGACAGCATTTACATGTTTATTGGTAGTTGGCCTATTGCCTGATAACTGCAAAGTGATGGCTATAATTCTGTTCAGCTGTATGCTTCCCCTTTTTTCCAGATATTTTACGTAATCTCTGATGTGTTTTTAAATTTAAAAGGGCATCAACATGTGGCCATAAACCTCAGGGTTAACTGAAGCATCTTTAAACCATGGATGGATGATGGGTGCTACATTCAAATCCTTAAAACCTAAGCATCGTTCACTTCTCAACTCCATAGCTGCATCATTTAACATGTTCACTTATTCTTTTAGCTCTTGATGGAGTCAGATAAACACTTGCAAGCACTGAGCCACCAAAGAGTGGTTACAATTCTGAGGCAGATGATTGCTGCTTTCTTTATGATTATTTTTAATCTAACATCTTCCTAGTGAATGGTGATCCTGGTTTTCTTTTTAGCAGGGTAATTATATTCCTGTTCAAGATTATCTGGTTTCCTTATGTTCTCACAATATTTGTCTTTCTGTCCGGTGGAGTGGGAGTTTATTAAACTTGTTCTGTGTGAGTGCTGTCTCCATACTGAATGGGGCCTCTCTGGGCTCACCTGCTAGGCACCAAGTCACCTTCCTGAGCAGCCTGGGGGCGTGGCGTAGAGCTGGGTAGCGGGGCTCTGGGAGTAGCCCCACAGATGGCCACAATCCCATCTTGTAGAAAGGGAAGAGTGACTGTCACCGCACTGCCTCTTTAATGATGTAGTACTCTGGAGACTCTGGGCCTGTTGCTGAGGGAATGGGTATTGGCCTGGAGATGGTTGCTGTAGATTGCCCAGTGTGGGCCTCCTGTTGCTGGCTCCAGTGCTGAAACCCTTAGATGCCTTAGGCTGATCTGCTTAGAATGATGCCAAGTTGAGGTTTATAAGAGGTCCTTTATCTTCTACCCTCCCATGCTTACATAGCCCCTGCATTAGAGCAAGCTGCCTGCTTCGCCTCTATACTTGGGAATGAAGAATGTCACCTTCCCAGTATGCACTGGTTTCCATGACTGAATAATTAACACCAAAGGGAACTGGGGGATGGGGTCTGAATTAGGTAATACTTTACAGTCTCTCCCTTGGCACTTACAGTAAGTCAGGATCGGGACTTAGAGACTGTGGTCCCCTGATGACTAATTGCATAGTGATATTAGATTGTGGTTTATTAAGTGTTATTGTGAAGGAAAAAACCAGATGCTCTTCCAGAGGCACCACATCTTAACTGAACCTCTGTCCATCAACATCTTGGGTCCCAGGAATTTAGCTGGCTAAATTCCTCTTAGAGACTGAGATCTGTAATCTATTTTAGCATTTTCCCTCTCTGAAATCAACAAGCCATTATTTTACAGTCCAGGATAAAGCAAAGACTACTTTCCCAAAAATCTCTTTTAGGGACACCATATATTGAAATGGGTTGAAAGAATGGCCCTCTTTTCCTGCTTTATAGTTTCTTCCTCCAATAAGACAATCTGAGTTCTGTTTGGAGCTCTTAAAAAGGTAAGTAGGACCATAGCATGTTTATATTGCAAATATGGAGCCCTGCTGCTTTTCTCAATGTTGGTAGTGAAAGGTGAGATTGCCAACTGGTTCAGCCACCAGCACACTTGTGAAAACTCTAGGTAACTATATGACAATATCTCCTAAAAGTGGGGGAATCACTTGTATGTGTATGTACGTGGGTATGCTTATTGATGCACTTTTCATTACTGGTTCATCTTATCTAGTGAGTTCATGTTGCTTCACCACCTTTCTATCTGTTTTTGTCTGAGAGCCACTTTTTTTCCCTATCAGGGCAGCCCATACTATCTCCATAAGAAAGGTCTTATGTCTTGAAACCTGTCTTGTCAGCTACTTCAGAAATATGTTTTCTGTTCCTTTAACTTTTCAGGACTCAGTAGTATCCTGCAGACTTGTATACACTCAGGTCTTTTTTGTGTTTTACCATTGAAGACTGTTGGAGGCAAAGGAATAGTAGTGATGATGATGATGATGTTAGTAAGATATTTTGTGGAGGTTTTGGTGTTTATATAATTTTTTTCTCTGCAGATTTTTGGTAAAAAATCTGTTAGTAAAAAACTAACTCCTAAGGTGATCCACATAGAGTTTACTTACACCTTTTACAGTGGAGGAAGTCAAAATTACTCACAGCCAGTAGTGCAGATTCATTAAGCCTTTGTGGAAAGGAATCACTTCATTTCCCCCAGTATTGGGGTATCAAGAGGAAGGGTGGTAAGCAAGGTCAGTTAATCCATGAAGCTGGTGGGGGAGAACCATGCCAAATCTAGCTCCGGTGCTTAGGGTGACTAGCTTGCCTGGTTTCAGGGTGCAAGTTCTGTGTTCCAGGAAACCCCTCAGTCCAAATATCTGCCAATAGAACAAAACCCCATATGCACCTTGGACATTGAAAAGAACCCATTGACATACCCCTAATTTGCTCTTCTTTATTAACATCCCCAAGTGAGTGACCCTTTTTCCTTTAGGCTTTTAGAACATTTTGTAACCAAGCACAGAAATATGGTACACAGTCTCCAAGCTTTGTGCTTAAACTCAGACATTTGAAATTGGTGTAGCAAAACAGCTTTACTGTGAGTTTCCTTTACTGGGAGGTGGGGTAAAGAGATGGGAGACAGATGAGGTGTGACCCTGAGGTGCCCACTATTGCTGTTCCAATGTCCTTAATCATCTCTGGTTTTCTTTTTTCCTCCTCTAGACCCTCAAACTGACACAAGACCTACAGAGAAAACCCTTTGCCAAATCTGCTCTCAGCAAGTGGACAGTGATACCGTTTACAGCTTAACACCTTTGTGAATCCCGCGCCATTTCCTAACCCAGCAGAGACTGTTAATGGCCCCTTACCCTGGGTGAAGCACTTACCCTTGGAACAGAACTCTATAAAGTATGCAAATCTTCCTTGTACGGGGTGATGAGCCACCTGCCAGCGAAGGACAGCACCCTGTCAGCACTCCCCATCTTTGTTCAGAGCACACCGTGAACCCCCGCTGGTGATTCCGTGGTGCTTGAGCATCACGATGGTTTATGGGATATTTTAAGTGTTGCTTTTGTGTTTTCCTTTGAACTTTCTGAGTTTTTCACATGCATTAACTTGCAGTATTTTCCTGTTAACATGTTAAACCATTCTTCCCCTGACAACTTTAAAAATAGAAGGAAAAGGTCATACAAGTTACCATTCTGGTTTTGGGTGTCTCAAGCATTTAAGCTTGTGAAACTCCACAAACTAACAAATTACATAAACTGGAGGGGGTTTTCTTTCTTCTTTTGTTCAGTAGAAAACTGTCCTTTTCTAAAAATTGAACAATGGCACAACTGTTAGCTGTGCACACGCCAGTCAAGGGCTGACCCTGCATGGGAAGCATGAATGGGGCATAGCGTCCCAACAGTACACTTCAGTTTCAAGTCAGGGGGTCTGTAGATAAGACCCCAGCACCTAGTCTACACTGCCAGGTGCACAGGGCCTGTATCTTCTGTCAGAATCCTCAGTATGTTGGTGAGAAATTAGGATCTTTCTAAGAAAGATAACAGCTCAGCTGTCCACTAATTGTCAAGTGCCACTTAAGGATTTAGTTTTAAGGAGAAAAGGAAAAAAAAAAAAAGTAGCTCTGTTTTGCTTTGCAGAAGAAACAAACCTACAGGTGAGCTTTAAGCCTGCAATGAGAAATGTGTGGCGAGTGCAAGCCCGAGTCAGTGCAGTAGGAGTTCTAACTTCACAGTTTCCCCAGATACACACCCTTGATTACTGTCAGCCTTGCTGTGTATAATCTGACCTACTAGACATGTATGAGTGAGAGGCAATGGCATACAAACTGATTTTTTTATATAAGCTTAGGTAGTTGTGCAAGTGACATGATGGAAGTACAAGATAGGGCAATTTTGATCCCGCCCCCTTACTTTTCTGCTTCTATGGATTTGATTTTGTTTTGTTTTCCAAAAGTTATGGTGCTGTATAGGTGCTTTTTGTTTAACACAGAACGTGAGATTAGTTACCCCCTTTGGTAGACAGAATAGTTGGGAACACCTTTGGTACTTATGACACTGGTGTAATGACGCTCTGATTAGCACAGCATATGCATACTTCTCCAAAGTGATAGGTGAAGACTCTTTTCTTTGCATTAAAAAAGCATTAGGCATACAAATGTATAAATATATTTTATCATGTACAGTACAAAAATGGAACATTCTGCATGGGCGTTAGGAACACAAGCTAGTATTCCAGCACCGACTTCCCTGCATGAGTTCTTGCTGATGCTTGTACCGTGCAGTGGGCACTGACTCCTTCCACCAACATGGACGTGCCACCCAACTCCCCCTGCACCCACCACCAGCCGCCAGGGGACTCCTTGTGCACTCTGCTTCATAAACCCTCTGGGGGTGATATTGGTGGTGATAACAGCTCCTAGCATAATGAAAGTTCCATTCCGTATTGTCACACATCTCTCCCGCCTCGCTTGGGTTGTTATGTTTGAGTGATGGCCCTGTTGATTTCAGCCTGCCTTTTACTGAATCTGTAAATGGTTGTGCAATTGTGATTATAGTAGACCTGTAGCATATCACCTTTTCTAAATGGCTACAAGTTTATAATCTTCATTTTAAAAGTATGTATAATTTTTTAAAAATATGTATTCTATCCACATGGTCTGCTTGTCAGTGAGATAGACTTTTGCTTACTATATTTCTTTAGAATAATGCTGGCCACTTCCTTGACTCTTTGGCAGTCTGCTGTACACAAAAATTGTCCAGTATCAGTAAGAGTGCTGCCTCTCTGGGTGCCCGAGCGCTGCTGCCCTAGGTGAGAGGCAGCTCAGAGCGGCGGCAGCAGCTGGGTGGGGTGTCGGGCAGAGGGCTGCCTAGCACCAGAGGACCAGAGCACTTCCAGCACAGGGCCCTGAGGATTGCTCTCCTGTGCACAAAGAAACAAGCAAACTAACAAAATAGCTATTGCCTTTGCAGTTTTTCAGCCCTTGGGAGTTACTTTGGGATTAAGAAAGGCAGCCCTCAATTGTGTTTTAATTTTAAAACACTGAATACCTTTCAGACATGTGGCATCTCATTTATCCCACTCCCCCTTAATGTTTGTTGGATTTCAGGCAGAATGTTTTACAAAATTTCCTAGAATCAGATTATAATTTTGCACAGCTGAGGGAGGGACAGAGGCTTGAGAGCAGGGCAGAGCTACCTTGCAGGTCAGGAAAATGGAGGGGCAGAAGGGGGGTTCTTTGAAGTATTTAATAACTAATATCATCTACATGCAGAATGTTGTAGAGAGCTGAGATCAGGATAGTCAAGTGTCAGCATCAGTCCCAGGAAGGAGACAGGCATGAACAGACCCTGGTGTCACCCCTGGTTACCCTCTGCTGGTGGGTTTTCCACTAGAAAAGCCAGGCTCTCTTAGACTAGCAACTTCTAGGGAGGTCACATTGGACCGAGGTACAATCTGAGCCTTTTGTCTCTCAGATCGAGACTCTGATTTTTAGGAACAACCAACTGTTGACCACCACATGGAGTTGTCAGTGTACTGGGTCTCTCACAGTAGGTCTTCTGATCTGTAGTGTCCCCATGAAATACTTCATAACTCTGGAAGCCTGGCACTTGTGAGGTTTGCATCCTCATGAGAACTGTTGAGGCTACCCTCAGCCTCTAAATAAGCTACAATAGGGAGCCTTCTTTTTGATAGGAATCTAGAATGAAGGGTACCTAGTGCTGAAAACAAGGCATGAACTCTGGGACTCTGATGTTCCCTTTGGGGCTTCAGAACCAGATACCTTTTTTACCAAAGTTAGAAAAGAGCTTTATCACAAACCTTCATTGTCCTGGTGTGAGGACAGACTGCCAGGTTCGATGTACCCCATTTACTGTGAATGAATCTGAGGTCTGTTTCCTTTGTTGCATCCTCTGCAATATAATAATGACTGAAACACATATTTTTTAAAATTTCAGAAGTTATTTCTTCTTTTAACAGAAGGATCGTGCACACACACATTGTTCAGTGTGGACTTTGTGTCTGGTGTTGAGTTTCTGCATCACAAGTGTGTCACTTCCCATCTGGCTTGCTTCTCAGGACAGGTATGCCCAGTCTCAGGGTGTCATTTCAGTGGCTTCCAAACTTGTTGGAGATGGTAGGGATGGACTTCACCTCTACCTAATGAACTCCGTGTAAAGAATAAGGCCTGTTTGAATCTCATGGAAAAAGACTGTCAAGTAAAAGCAGAAAAGAGCCCAGCCCTGTTCACGTGCTGATGCTAAGGGCTGGAAATGTTGCCTTTTCTCTGAGAGCAGAAACAAACCCTAACAGCTCTGGACTGATTCTCTTTTTCCTTGCAGTTTTTGCGGAATAACTGTATGATTAGGCATATATTTTTTTTTTAATTATGTGAAGCAAATTTTTTTGTAGAAGTGCAATCACTGGCAAAGAGGTACGAAAGTTTGACCTCGCCCAGAGTCTGGGAACAGCAGAGCACACAAGGGAAAGGGAAGTCCTGTGAAACACGATCTGAAGGCAAATGCCCAAGTAACTGAAGAGTGTGTTATATTTGATTGAAATCTTTAGTAGGTAACATTTTATGCAGTTTGAATGAATGAAATATTTTCTTATTTACTTTTGTTTGTATGTATTTTTCTTTAATGAGTGATTGGTTACTAGGCCTCTGCCACACTCCAGAAATATTTGTGCGGCTGCTTTAAAGAATTGTGTGGCTGGTCATTTATTTCTCCAAAATTATCTCATTGCCTGGCAATCAGTCTTTTTTTGTATACTTGTCCTAGCACATTATGTACACGGAAAATGTAAACAGATGTGAAGGAGGACCAGAACAATTAGTTAATATTAAAAAAAAAAATGTGTGTTTTGGCTTCACATGTTTAACTTTTTTTAAGAAAAAAAGTTGCATGAATGGAAAAAAAAAAAAAAACCCTGTATACAGTATCTGTAAAACTGTCTTATCTGTTTCAATTTCTTGCTCAAACCCCATACAAAATAGAAATTAAATATGGTGCATGGCCATATGCAAACACCTAAGAGTCCAGCAGTCGATGCTTTGGTTTGAAGCACCTCATCCTTTCTTTCAAAGCGAACACTATCATATTGCATTCCTACTGAGGATTTTGTCTAACCATTTGTTGCCATGAATTAACTCTACCACCTTCTCAAGAATCAAAACCAGTTTGATTTGGGAATCTTCCCCTTTCCAAATGAAATAGAGATGCAGTACTTCCTTTCCTTGGTGTTTGTAGATATTACCTTGTGTATTCCATTTAAAACCCTAATCTAGTTTGTAAAAGAGATGGTGACGCATGTAAATAAAGCATCAGTGACACTCTAGCTTACTCTAAGAAGTCGTTTGTTTTCTTACCCTTTCCTTTAGCCCCAGAAATGAAATAACTGGATTTATCTGAAGGTCTTCACAGACTGGGAGAGGCACAAAGCTGAGAGACCCTCTTGTGAAATCTTCAAACTAAATGCATCTTTTTCTCTGGCCCATTCTTGACTTCCACTGACAACCAGACAATTTGATAAAAGTAGATTCATGGTGACTGATAGTCCCTTTAGGCATGCACTGAAGTCACCCTGTAGGGGTTTTTAAGTAGGGAATTGGGATTTATACTCTGCCTTCACCAAATGTCAGGTCTTGACCTGTCAAAGTTTTAGCCCCAATGAAGTGCTGCTACTGTGAGTCCAGTTGTCACAGGGCTCTCGTGCATATCAAAAGTCAAATTCAAGACTAAAGGCTTCTGCTGTGTGTACATTTACAGCCTCAGTCAAGTTAAGAGGTATTATAAAACTATTCCTAGTAGATATAAACTTGTAAAAAGTATTCTACTTTTAGAAACACCCTAGGATTGGGTTCAAAGTCCCATTGCACTCATTTCAGATCAAATCATTGAAAAGGGTTTTGGGATAAATTCTACATTAGGTGAACAGTCATGCTCTATTAGTTTGACTTTGCTATTGTTTTAATTATTTACCAAGGTAAACTCTTTCCTTCTCACCCCACCCCCCATCTTCAGATAACAAAATCAAATGGGAGAAAGAAGGCTTCCCAATTTTAATTTTGTCTTTCAAAAGATGAAAAATGGAAATCCACTACTAGCTATCACAGGATCATCAATAGCCAGGTAAAAGTTCATCCAAAAATTAACATCAACTTAATAATCAACTATGCAGGCAATGGCAGCAGACCAGACCCCTATGATGGGTTCCAAGAGAACCAGTCTGGACCCTGCCTCCCTGTATTCCAGGAAGAATCGATCCACCTTGATGAATAAAGAGCCAATTCCGCCTGACACTCTCTGCTTCAGCTTTTTGTTTAAAAAGAGTAATTTAGGCCAGCTGCTCTCTAAAGCACCTCAGGGATTTGATTTTGCAAATACTTCAGTAGAGAGGGGAAACCTTTAAGCCAGGAAATGTGACATTTATCAGCCAAGTCCACACCCCTGCTGGAAGGAACACAAACAAATGTCCTGTGGGGTAAGGTAGAATTCCTAGACACTAGGGGTGCCAGTCACCCCTCACTACCCAACCACTCCCTTAGGACTTGGAAAGTAGGGAGATGGCTGGGGTGGGGGTGGGGGTGCGGCAGTTGTGTTGCCTGGATGTCACTAGGCTCAGCAGGACGGAGTAGGGAAATCTATTAGTGTGGAGATAAGACAGCACCACCAGTGCACTGCGCTGGATTTGGGCCTCCACACCTTTGAAGCTAGAGGAAGAGGGTCCATTTCCCTGGATTTTTCCCTCATTCATAAGTTCAAACATGGAGCCTGTTGGCAGTATTTAAGACCTGGAAGAGAATTAGACTATATGTGTATTCTACCTAATGTCTCAGTAATTTTGCCATTCTCTCTGAGGACTTCTCTAGAAACAAGACAAATATCCCAATCTCACTTAGGGGAGGGAAAGCTTGCATGGACACAGAACCTCTGTGACTCCTACAGCCATCTATCCCATCACACCTACTGTGTGCCAGGTGCCATGTTTGTTTTAGGGCCTAAAGGGGTTGAACGTAAATATGAAGGCCTGTAGTTAGGAGTTCTTGAGAAAAGGAATCCCACGCATGCTGCTAAGGGCATGATGGAGGGTTAAAGGATAACCCAGAAGTGAACAGTTGAGTGGAAAGACAGAAATGGCTCAGACTTTATAGTTGAAGTGATGAATCTTGGGGACAAAGACGAGAGAAAAAAAGGTTGGAACCTATTTGAGAAGCAGTGCATAGAGGGCTTGTTTGGGGTTTAAAGAACTCAAAAATGATAAATGAGAAAAGTCGGTTGTCAGAAAATTCCAGACCAAGGAAGCTGGCCTCAGCTAGGGAGATGGGAATCCCTGGGGCAGGGGCCTTGATTCCAGAGTGCGTTTTAGGAGGAGTTCTGAGGCACTTTGGGGAGGTGCACCCTAGGAGGGGGATGTTGAGGAAAAAAGAATGTGGTTATTCTAGAGCTATTTTCACATTGCTACCCACAGAAATGATAGTTTATCGGGGTGACCTAGAAAGCTGTTCCAGGTCTCAGGCCTCTCAGCCACAGGCCCTGCAAGCTCCCAGGGACTGATAACGTAACATTTCTGTAACTTCCTACTGGGTCAAAGGTCCTGATCTACAAGAAATCAAGAAATGGGATTAAGTCTGGGAAACAACAGGTTTGAGCTTTTTACTGTGCTGTGTTAGCTTATCAAAGTGGGAGTGTTGCTTATGTAAAGATTAATCCAGTTCCTTAAAAACCATGAAGAGACTGGGTTTTGTGACTCCTGAGACCAGACCAGAGACAATAAAGAGTAAGGTGAGACAAGGGTCTTGGGAAGTGCAAGTAGAGATGAGATTGCTGTTGATAAGGAATCTAACTGAGCAAAAGTATCTTTGCAAAGTCTTCACACCACTGGGTTCCTATAGTTTCCTCCTCTTAACATCTTGACCACCCGAGTAAATAACCTGATCAGAACAAAGGAATATGCATCTATCAAAACAATATGAAAACAATTCACATGCATAAAATGTTCATATCAGATGTACTCTTAGAAATGTAATTATTGTTCTTATAGCTTACAGTTATATAAGAAGAATAAAAAGAAGGGAAATAATTCACACCAGTGTAACTATGGCTGGAGAGAAGTAGTAAAAAGGTCAAATGCAAAAATTGGAATAATTCTTGTCTCAATACTTTCAGCTTCAACACTGGCCTCAGGAGCACACTGTTGCCTCCATGAATAAGCTTTAACTTCCTCAGTCTCTCCCTCCAAATCTCAAGTCACTGCTCTAGCCCTAGCTGACAGAAGATATCAACACCCTTGACAGGTCCAGAGAGGCAGGAGGGGCCCTTCCACCAAAATGCATCCACTGGGTAACTCCCCAAGCGTGATGAAGAGGGTTCTCGTGCCAGGCAAATGCTCCAGAGTTAGAATTAGGTTATAGAATTTATTGGTCGTGATTATATCTATTTTGTCTCGTATTTTTAAATATTTTGCAAGCTGAAATATTCACATATTCAAAAGCCACACAGTATATAGGTAGACATACCTCAGCCCCCTGTCCACTTTGTTACTACCACCCCAGTTTTTTGTCTCCTCCCAGACTCTGTCTGCATATAGAAGCAATAAACACATATTCTTACTTTCCCTGTATTACAAAAAATGTGTATCGTGCAGACAGACATCTTACTTTGTTAACGATTTGCTCACACATAAAGGACATATTTTGATAGTTGCAGAGAGTCCCATTGTATCAAGATTTGGGACACTGGATTGTTTCTCTATGCTTGTTATTATAGCAACACTGCAGTGAATAAGTGTATACACACATTATTTCCCACACATGGAAGAATCTTTATAAGACTGATTCCCAAATGTGGACTCGCTGGGTCAAAGTGTACATATTTTTGTAATTTTGATAGAGCTTGCCCAAATTGCCCTCCAAGGTGCCCATTCACAGCACCAATGATATGGAAGAATTCCTGTCCTTCCACAGCCTTGTATTTGTAATACTCTAAAAAACAAATTGCCCATCTGTTTTTCCTTTTCCCCCCAAGCGTCTTTAAGTCTGTACCAGAGGTACTCAGGGCCTAGTTAAGAGTGTGGTGGAGGATGGGAGAGCTTTATGGGGTCGACTCCAGGCGGCCTGGGCCATGCTAGGAAGGAAGAAGCAGCTCTTGGCATTTGCAATGGAACACCCATCCCTGTGCCAGCACACAGGAATCAGCTGCCAACCTGTCCTTCCAGTCTGGCCACAGGCTCCTCCCCTCACGCCACCAGTTCGAGCAGCCCAGGCCCAGCCTCTGGGTCAGCAGCCTGACCTCACAGCTGTGTTCCCTCACCTCCCAGAATTCCAGAGGGGAGCTGTCACCCTAGAGGAAACAAGTCTGGTCTCTTTGGCACCAAACCACACACCTAGCCCTATTCATAGCAATGTTGCACAACCTGCTGGAGGACAGCCTGACTGGGCTGGGGAGAGCTGTGCCATTCCGGAGCCAGGCCCTGGCCTCCCAGTGCCCCTGGGCTGGCCTTCCAGCTTTCAGCAAGGGGGAAGGGAACCTCAAGGGCCTGGCTCCTCCTCCCAAATGTGGGGATCGTGGGTGGGAAGCCTCTAATACCATCCTCCTCCAACCACCATGCAGGCTAGCAGCTGAGGTGAGGAGGGCCTCTCTGTAGTTAAAGGAGAAACCAGGAGGCAGTTTTTACACAAGAGGAAGCTGAGTCATGTAGGAATAAGCCCTGTTGTCTCTGTAGGAGCCAGTGTCAGGGAGAGAAACTCCATTTTGGACTGGGACAGACTTTGATTTGAACCCCCAGGGAGCACTAGATGAATAACAATAGCCTAGTTGGCTAACTTTTCTGGGCCTCCATTTTCTTTCCTTTTTTTTTAGAGAATTATTTATGCATAGAAAAACTGGGGTGTAGGCCAAGGGTGCAGGAGGTGAGTGGATTTATCAGAGAGAGTGGGGAGCAGGTCAGGTGGAGCTACTAAAATACACTGCTAAAACATAACATTTGACATATTTTTGAACCCCACTGGTAGAATGAGAATGTATGATCATTAAGCATAAAGGCAAGCAATTTGTCAGGTTTTCCTGCTCTGTTTCTCCCACCCTGGTGGTACATGTTTGTGTCCTAGAGAATCATTGTCACTGCCACAAAGAACTCATGTCATGGTCAGAGAAGATCTGCCACTAAATTTTCACTGGAAGGCCTTCGATGAGTCACTTCTCTCTTCCTGAGCATCAGTTTCCCCTTCTGCGAAGTCCACTTCATTGAATGCTCCATACTTCATGAGGTTGCCATGACGAGCCCAGAAATGAAGCATGCGCTGTCAAACCCGGACAGCACTGGCAGAGGTTAACCCC